AATGAGCCTGCCTTATATATAGTACTGTCCGAAATTCGGACAAATCTCAGAATTTATCTCCTAATTTATTTATTTTTTCTGATGAATTCTTAAAATTTAATTAATAAACTCTCCTGATGTTTCCGAATTTTCCTCAACCAAATTTTTCGTACAATGGAAAACTTTTCACACAATTTCTAATATGTTTTGTGTTCGAATTCGGCATCTGAAATGGGAAACTTGTGCAGAGAATTTGTCCAAATTCTGTGCAATTTCGGCAAAATTGTTTGTCAAAGATATTGACATCAATTTTAAAATAAAAGTGTAATTTTAATGTAACCTTCAGTATTAACAAGTAAAAAAGCAACTAAGTTCGACCGGGCCAAACTTTAAATGCGCATTAGGAAGGAACTGGAATATTTAAAAAAAAAATCCAAAAAAGTCTATCATGAGTATTTCCAGAAGCTACAAACGGAATGACAAAGTTCATATACCCTCCATAGAATGGTGGAGAGTATAAAAATATTTGCGTTGGTAATGGTAACGCACAGAATAGTTCTGGTCCGTTTTGCCTGCTGAGAATTATTCAGTCAACATCTTAGATGTAAGTCTTCTGTCCTGTCTATAAAAGATGATCGGTTAACGACATTGTGGACCTAGCACCAATATTTTGAGGATTTGCCTATATTTGACCCACCCAAAATTATAATACCTCACAGCATAGTGTTGTGCGCCACAAACATTTTCAAATATTTCTAGACCATTAAGTTAAAATATTTTACACAATTTTTTTTTGTCTAGCCAAGTGGAAATTAAATTTGTATACTTGTTCAACTAAAAATAGCGTTTATTGTTTTACTTAATTGCATTCGTATGGTTTGCATTTCCATACAAATTTGTTCAAATATTTGACATGTGTTGCCACGATGTATAATAAAAATATTCACTGGAAAGTATGCAAGATTTTAAATATTTAATTATTTCAAGATTTTTATATGACACACAATGTGAAAGACAAATACCACATTACCCCACAAAGAATACACAAATGTAGAGCTTTGTTCTATTTGGGGGAAAATGTGAATGTGCGCCACTCACTCAGATGCGCAGATCACTAGATTCATCAAACGTTTTGTATTTTAATATTATATTTTCGCAATCGGGCAATGTTTTCTTTTTTTCCCCCACAAAGAATTCACTTCACACATAATTCATTATGCCCAAAAAAGACAACAAGCCGGCTGGCTGGCTGTCTGAAGTCTGCAAATATTTTCTTTGCGGTAAAGATAATAAAAATCAGATTTTATTATCATATTTCTATGAATCGCCAAGTCAAATTCCCCTCTCTTGAGCATTGGCAATCCATTGCTTTGGAATACTCACTAATCGTATGTGCGGGATGTATTCTCCTCAATTGCCTTTTCTTTTCCTGAATGAGTCGGAATGAATGGCTGATGCTCAACCTGGTTGTTATTTTGTTGTTTTTATATCTTTTGGCACTTTATTAAACGTTCCGGTTGTGAATTTATTATTGTTGCTGCAGGAAGATCTATATCACAATTGAAAGCTGAATAGAGTGAAAACATCTCACAATGTGCCAATAAATGCAGGCAATTAAATCCGCCACAATATATTTTCCCTTACATGGTGATGTATTGAACTCCTTGTTTGTATTGGATTATTGTTATTTCCATTACCGAAAGTAACTGCAATAAGAGTTGTACCTATAGTTTTGTGTCCTTGGTGTGAAAACTCTGCGTATGAGTGATATGAAATATGTGACATTTTTTAAATCACTCATACGTTTAGGGACTGTTGCACTGAAATATGAACTAGAATGACTCAACTCTAATTGCAATAAAAGAAATATTAAACAAGAATGCAAAGGCTATGGTCGTGCGGGGCCAACCAAGTGATACCCTACAACACTACAATATGTTAGAAGCCCCCGTTATGTCCAAATCCATTTTGTAAGATTTAGCCTTTGAAATAATGTCATGGAGCACTGCTCAGATATTACCCTTAGCATTTTGATCAGGGACATTTTCCCCATATAATTATGCACTCCGTCGTGCTGTTAGTTGTTGTGGTATATTTTACAGCTAAATATAATCCAATGGCCATCCAGAATGCTAGACTTCTTCCCTGCCCTTATCTCTCTTCTCATGCAAAATTCCGTATTGATTGGTTTTAATTGTGTGATCAGGAAAACCCCTAAATATTTCGCGATCAGCTCCAAAAGCAAGAGGCTCCTCTGTATCTCCACACTTAAACGCATCTATATGATTTGCTTGTCTACGATACTTGGTTATATTCGTCAACGAAATCAGCATTAAAAGCCAGAAGTTCGCCGTCGATTGGTCTATTTCAAACCCTAAATGTTATACGATCATCCAACAGCAATAGCCTTCAATTCTGACCATAACCCCATGTCGATTTTCAATTTCGTGAGGATCGGGCCATAATTGCGACATGTAGCGTGTGATTACAAATTAACATAGACAGACAGACATACGGACATCTAGACAGCTAGATAGACTCAGCTCGGCGAAATAAGAAGATCCATTAATACTTTCTTATGTGGGAAACCAATATTTCGAGCTGTTACATAATTTTTGAACCAATCAAACTTATAATACCCCCAACACGTACAGGATGAGATGAAAAAACTGCAACCAACTTCAGACCGCTGTCATTTCTAGGCCACACGTCCGACAGATGTTAAAATTATTCCAGTGACAGCTCATTATATTATTCACAAGCATACTAAAGCATTTTGGGGAGAATTTTCCAATAAAAACAGTTATTCGTGCTGGAATTCAAGCGTGATAGTGTGATTTCATTATATTTGACTGGAAAACCACAAGTGCCTATCGTTAGAGAACTCCAGCATTTAAACGTGAATAAATATTTTGTGTCTCGTACCATCGCTTGATACTGGTAGCGTAGCCCGACGTCAGGGAAGTGGACGGAAGAAACCAGCAACATCAGCAGAATTGGTTCGAAAAGTAAAGAAGCGACTTGAGCTGAACATATCGCAATATTCCTTTCGGCAAATATTGAAAAATGAGCTCGGGGTAAAGCCATTGAAATTACAAAAAGTGCAAGAACTTACACTGCAACAGAAAGAAAATAGACTTAGAAGAGCTAAAGAGTTGCTCCGCTTGGCCGAAGTGGTGAACTGCCGAATTTCGTTTTCTCCGATGAGAAAATATTCCTTGTCCAGCAGTTTTTAAAACAATCATATGATCGTGTTTACTTGCAAAAGAGGTCAACTGAAAATGTGCACCTTTGGCCCCCAGAACTCAAGCGCCGGCCATAGTGATAGTGTGGACCGCCATAACAGCCGGTGGTCGCTCTCCACTCGTATTATTCGACTGTGGCATCAGAATATATGCCGAATGTTATGGCAAAGATATTCTGGAGGGTGTATTAAAGCCTTGGGCAAGCAAACATTTTGGCCGCACACCTTGGACATTCCAACGGGACTCAGCACCATCGCACACAGCAGGCGCCAACAAAAAATGGTTACAAAATGAGGTTCCTTGCTTCATTTCCAACGTAAAATAGCCACCAACATCTTCGGATACCAATCTGTTGGACTGTTGTGTCTGAATTATTTTGGAAAGCAAGGTTTGCACTAAAAAATACCAAAGTGTCGACCACCTCAATCAAGCGCTTCGCCGGGAATGGGCCAAAAAACCGCAGAGCAACATTCGGACAGCATGTGACGGTTTCATTGGCCGCCTGAAGGCCATAATTCGTGCCAAAGATGACCAATTCGAACAAATCTAATATTATTCAAAAATTTGATGCTATCTCCGAAATTTATTATTTTCATTCAATTAAAAACTGTTTTTATACCCTCATCATACATGGTATGGATTGTATATTAAATTCGTCATTCCGTTTGTAACTCATCGAAATCAGAATTTTAGACCCAACAAAGTATATATATTCTTGATATTCGTCAAATTCTAAGACCATTTCTGTCCGCCTGTTGTAATCAAGTTCGAAGTTCATGTCAAGTTCGAATATGGGCTATATCGATCCACGATTTCGTATAACCACTATATAACGCTACCCCCCATTATTCGGTAATGGAATTTTAGACACATATTCAATTGAAATCTCTGAAAGGAGTTCTTTGTAAGTACTTTACCCTCTGAAAAAGAATTTTTTATGTAGGTCCACGATATCTTATATCCACCATATAACGGTACGTCCCGATATTCGGTATTTTGACGATTTCAGCAAAATTTTTCAATGGAATTGTCTTAAAATCCAGAAATGGAGTTCCTTGCGAGTACATTATACCCTGGAAGAGAATAATTGTTTATATAGGTCCACGATATCCTCCCGATATTCGGCATTTTAATGATTTTTGCGACGTTATTCACCGGAATAAAGTTCGGAACAGTTACTACAGCCTATGGCACAAATTACTTTTGCAGGACCACGTCTTTGTATAGCCCACATATAACGGTTTTCATTTGAGCGGTAGTTTCCGACGGTATTTTTCTTGAAAATTTTCAAGTTTCTTCCAAATGGTGGCGCGGCCGGACTTAGGACCCTTTTTACTTGTTTTAATTTAATATTAATTTCTCCTTTATTTCTATACAATCAATACTATCAATAATAACTAATCAATAACTATCAATATTCCCAATAACTATCAATATCTTTCAAAATAAAATTAATAAAATGGATTAGAAGGTTCTCATTTTAAAATTCAAAGCTATTTTGAATTTGTTAGCTATCCAAACAGACCCGCACATACATTCTTAAACTAAAAAAAAATTACACATATTCTTTAAATGCTGTCTAGCCAGCTGTGGTTTAAGCAAACAATTACGAAAAAAATATTTGAATTTCTATTTTTACAATATTTGGTTACACCCCTTTTGTTTTAAAAACTAATGAACTTTTAGTTCCGCACTATCAACTTGTCATTTTATATATATTTACTTTTGACACATACACACAAATTTCATATGCTGTTACATAAATTCCAAACTTACAACTGTTTACTTTGTTTCTGTTGTAATCTCACTACTGTGCATTATTGCTAGCCAAATAATCGAGTCGCACACGAATAAATTATCAGTAAGTACAAGAGCCGAAACACCAATAAATTGTTTTAGAGATGCCGCAAATATCCACTACGCATTAAAGATCACACACAATGCGGCTGTGGGAGCAGGAAGCCACATAAATTCCTATTTTATTGGGAGGTGCCCATAAAACTCTGGCCATAAACATTTAACACTCACACACCCGCACAGGCAATTTTTTTTCCGCCAAAGACTTTTTGCCCGACTTTTTTTCTCTTCTTCTCGAAAAAGAAAATCAACAAACAATATGGTTTGCACTTTAATTTTTCATTCGCACACAATTTAATAGATGTTTACATATGTTTGCCATGTTGTTGATTTTGTTGTTGTTAATCATTCGCTTTATGTTGCCGATTTAAATTAGCTCCTCAAAAGAAGAATTGACACATAATGTGTTTATTTTCCACTTCATTTATTTAAATTTTTTCTTTTGTTTAACAGCTGTGTATTGTTGACAAATTGGATTTATGGGTTTTCTATTGTTTTTCTTTTTTTTTTTTAAGTTGGCACAAAGAAAACAATTATTTTTCCCACTAAAATAAACATTTTCTTCGAATTTCTCTTGTTTTATAAACACTAGAATCTTAACGTTTTTTTTCACAATAATAATTTTTAAATCTTCTTGTTTTTTTTACAGATGACAGTTACAATTTGGCGTTACAGTTCTTCACATCCGTTAACCGTTGTTTTCCTGAACGTGGTCAAATATCAACTGAAATTTCAGCAACAGAAAATTTGCCGCCTGTGACATTCAATCAAAAGTTCGTTGTCGTCTGTGCAGATTTTCATTCGTGTAGAAGGTTTTTGCTTTTTGGTCTCTGGCAAGGAGTAGGAAACAATAAACAGCTGTTGCACACACACTCCGTGCCAAGGAGCTTTCTTATCAGTCAGAGAGAGAGAAAAGCTTTTCACTCGCATGTAAACAGAGAATAAAAGTTGTCGGTGTTTTTGGCGCCAAGCAACCCAAACAGTGGAGGATGTTGAAAAAGGAGAGAAAATGTTCAACAGGTTAACCTACCTTCATTGAAACTATGATAAACTAGTGCTGACGAAAGTGTTTGACTTCTTATAGTCGTCAGAAATATCAGAAATTAAAGGGAAATTCAATGAAGAATGAAATGACTACGAATTAAAATTTGATAATTACACTGTGCAACACAAAAAAGAAAAAACAAGTCAAGAAATATTAGTCGATTTTGCCGACAGATGTATACTCTTCGCCAATGTTCGTTTATTTAAATATATTTTGACTTGCATTCTCATAATTCGAACTGTTGACGAACTTTTACGAGAGGTTCCGATGAAATGTGTCTATACAGGGTGAGATAAAAAACTGCAACAAGTCATACGCCATAATATTTACATTTTTTAATTTTAGTGATTGAAAGCTAAAAAAGGCGGAAATAGCATCAAATTTTAAAATAAGTCTAGATTTGTTCGATTTGGTCACCTTTAGTACGAATTATGGCTTTTAACCGGCCAATGAAACCGGCACACGCTGTCCTAACCTTGCTTTCCAAAATACTCAAGACACAATAGTACATCGGATTGGTATCCGGAGATTTTGGTGGCCATTGTGCGCTGAAAATGAAGCGAGCAACCACATTTTGTAACCATTTTTGGGTGGCGCGTGCTGAGTGCGATGGTGCTGAGTACTGTTGGGATGTCCAAGGTCTGCGGCCTTTTTAAAATCATTACGGCGAATAATGTAGCTAAAATCATCAAGACACCGTACGTACCATTACATCGGAACTAAACGAAGACCTGGACTTGCATAGACAATTTTCTTTTATAGCCTATATCATCCATTACGAACTTCAAATACGACATCTCCAACAATTTCGGTGAGTATTGTAGCTAAAATCGTCAAAACACCGAATATAGGGAGGCAGTTATATGTGGGGCCTATACAAAGTCCTGGACCTACATAGACAACTTTCAAATACCAAATTTGAAACAATTCCGGTGATTAATATCGCTAAAATCATCAAAATGCCGAATATCGGGAGGTGACGTTATACGCGGCCTATACATGGCCCATTTACGAACTTAACCTGCCTACTGGCAAAATAAACATGTATTTGTTGGGTCTACATGAGTATTGCGAGGAATTACAAGCGGAATAAAAAAGTTAATATACCCTCCATAGTATGGTGGAGAGTATAAAAAGGTCTCAGATATACAGAAGCTTTACGTCAAAAATGGCGATGTAGAGTATCGGATGGTCAACCGCTATAGGGATTTTACCAAAAATTCTACTCCAACTTTCATACGTCTATTAACATTCCTTCATCCATCCATCCATCCTTGCCGGCTATTATTGTATATTTAACTGATAAAATCCATACCTAATAGTATGTTTAGAGGGCTGAATACTACAATGGCATATGTTACACTGTGTGACAAAATAATTTTTTTGGTGGAGGGTATAAAAAGTATCAGATATACAGAAGCTTTACGTCAAAAATGGCGATGTAGAGTATCGCATGGTCAACAGCGCCCGAACGTGGCATTTATTTAATTGTCTTTAAACTAGTTTTGAATTGCTAAACAAAAAATAGTAATGAAGTTCTTTGGTGTGTTGAACCTATTTCCCAATAATTAAGTTCTTTGATTTGATTTTAATTTTATTAAATTTCTTTATTAGACATATATTTCCAATTATAATTTTATACGTCTATGTATTTTATATGTTCACCAATCACTAAAAAACGGAATTTTAACACTGTACCGTCTAATTTATAAAGTAAATAACGCCAACAAGTTTTTGTTAAAAGTTTAAACGATCAGTTAGATAAAAACAGTCTCTCCGTCGGCTTTGAGAAGCAAACAACAAACGTCGCATCGCAAGCAAATATGAATAAATTACTAGCATTGGCTATTTTTGCTCTTCTTTGTGTTGTCATTAACGCACGGCCAAATAATGGGGTAGGTTTAAGCATTTAAAAGATTAAATAATATTTTTATTGCAATGTATTTTACTGCGGTATATTTTACTAGGCAGCTCATGTCGTTGGTGGTGCTCAAAAATTGGACGTGGAAGAAGCTGAGGAGACTTTGAACTTTTCACTGAAACAATTGGCAAAGGGTGACAATGGACCAAACTACAAGTGAGTAGATACCAGTGGAACCGGTTATTCGGAAGTGTTAATTAACGCTAAGTTTAGTAGTAATATGGGTTATACAAAAATCAATCGGCAGGTATATTCGTGAAGATAAATGGAACAACGTATTATCGAAAAAAAAATTAAATAAAAGTTCCTGGTCAAAATAATAGCATAAAGTCCATAAAGAGACGAATAATGCAGTTTCTTTGTTATAATAACCATCAATTTTACGATGACATCAGAAAATATGTGTTTGTTGTTACATGCAATGTCAACATCCGGTTTTGTGTCCTCCAGTACTAAAAGGTGGACTTTCAGACTATAATTGCTTTATAGCCTAAACTAATCGCATTTATAATCGCAGGAACGAATAAAGAAAGTATACTTTTGTTGGATATTTACTCAAAGAATATCAAATCTCGAAAATATATATTTTTCGAGCGAAATCTTTTAAAATGAAGCTTCCCCAATTTATAAGCGTATTACACATTAATTTAAAGCGGTCGCCAAATATCGGTGTATAGAGCTCAGGTTTGCTCTTTTTAAGTAGGACCTTGGGTTAATTTAAATATTGGCATGTGTGAAATTTGAAGACAATCGGACTCATACATCACATTTTATGAGAGTTGTAATTATTTAAAATTTTGACCATTTGTGGGGGAGTTACTTGATGGAGCAGAGCGATATTGTCCATTTTCACACCTGACCTAGCACTGACGCAAAAATGCAAAGTTGCAGCCAAATCGGATTATCATTTCTCTTTCTGAGCAAAAAATATATTTTTTGAAAATTTCGACCTTTTGTGGGGGAAGTACCAAAAGGAGTGGACCGATATTGCCCATCTCCGAACTCGTTCTAAGTTTGACAAAAATATTACGATGTACCCAGTTTGGACCAAATCGGACACTCCCTTTGAGAGTTTTCGTGAGCACCAGTCAGACAGATTTGGTCTAAAGATACCTAGGGTCTAAAACCGTTATTTCGACTAGGCACGTTTTGACCGTATCAAATTGTATATACCCTCTGTAGCCATATGGCTGTAGTATCTACTACGAACTTCAAATACTAAATTTGAAACAATTCCGGTGAATAATGTCGCTAATATCATTAAAATACCGAATATCAGGTGGTACTGTTATATGGGGGCTATACGAAGACGTGGTATTTATTTGTAGTATTCATTACGAACTTCAAATACCAAATTTGGAGCAATTCATTTCGTTCGGAAACTAGAGTTATTTCCACAGACGGACAGACGGACGGACATCTCTAAATCGAAATAGAGTACATATACTTTGTGGAGTCTAAAATGTATATTTCGAGGTGTTACAGACGGAATGACAAACTTAATATACGAATACAAATGCAGACATTATGAATTATTGTCATTACACTGTGTGACAAAATAAATAGAGGCGGTATGTTCCCCTTTTTTGAAGGAACTTGAAAATGTACAAAAAAAGAACCCATCGAAAAGTACTACTAAATAAAAACCGTTATATGGAGGCTATAGACTGAAGTACCAATTTCGAACTTCGAATAGGATATGTTATCCATATTTTGTAAAAGGACAAAAATACCTTTTTTGGTAACTCGCTTGGTAGTTAACAATTTTGGACCAAAATCATCCGCAACCAATTTCAGACCGCTGTCATTTCTAGGCCACTCGTCCGACATCAGGTTAAATTATTCCAGTGACAGCTAATTATATTGTTTACAAGCGTACAAAAGCATTTTGGTGAGAATTTTCCAGAAAACAAGTTATTCATCTTGGAATTCATGCGTGGTTGTGTGATTTCTTTATATTTGGCTGGAAAACTACAAGTGGCTATCGTTAGAGCACTCCAGAATTTAAATGTGAATAAAACTATTGTGTCTCGTACCATCGCTCGTTACCGTGATACTGGTAGCGTAGTCTGATGCCGAGGAAGTGGACGGAAGAAAACAACAACATCAACAGAAATGGTTCGAAAAGTAAAGAAGCGACTTAATCGAAACCCGCGTCGCAGTGGCCGAAAAATGGCTCGTGAGCTGAACGTATCGCAAAATTCCAACATATCGCCATTGTAATTCCAAAAAGTGCAAGAACTTACAACGCAACAGAAAGAAAATAGACTTAAAGAGCTAAGGAGTGGCTTCGCTTGGCCGAAAGTGGTGAACTGATGAATTTGGTTTTCTCCGATGAGAAAACATTCGTTGTCAGCGGTTTGTGAATAAACAAAATGATCGTGTTTACTTGCCAAAGAGGTCAGTTGAAAATGTGCACCTACGGTTGGCCACCAGAACTCAAGCGCCGACCATGGAGTATTTTGGAAAGCAAGGTTGGCACTAAAATATACCAAAGAATCGATTACCTCAAACAAGCGCTTCGCCGGGAATAGGCCCAAATACCCCAGAGCAGCATCCGGGCAGCGTGTGAGAGTTTCATTGGCCGTTTGAAGGCCATAATTCGTGCCAAAGGTGACCAATTCGAACAAATCTAAACTTATTCTAAAATTTGATGATATTTCCGACATTTTTTGCGTTCATTCAATAAAATTTAAAAAAAAATAAAAATGATGACGTTAGACTTTGTTTCAGTTTTTTTTTTATCTCACCCTGTAGTGTCTTCGGCAATATTATAATACAATATGAGAATTATTTGTAGCAAGTTCAAATTTATTTTTCATAAAATTCTACTATAGTTCTCAGAAGACATCAATAGTTTCGATCTTACCTAAACTCCAGAAATTCATAAATATTAAACAATTAAAATGCAGCTATGTGCTTTTAATACCCTCCACCATTTGGAAGGAACTTGAAAATTACATTTCCAAGAGAGTTTTTCCATCTACAAAACGATGTTGCTTGTTTACATTCAATTAGTTGTTAATAATATCCACAATAACATGAATATATTTTCACTTTTTTTCTTTGCAGAGTGAGGAAAATTCATTCGGCCAGCAAACAATTGGTGTCCGGTATTCTGTACAAAATTAATGCTGATATCATCGATGGTGATGAGGAGAAGGCAAAGAATTGTGATATCAAGATTTGGGCTCAACCCTGGTTGGAGAATGGTTACAAAGTGACATTCAACTGTGAAAAGGAAGACGAACTCGTCTTGGCCCATAGTGCCTAAAATGGGGGAATCATTGAAGATGACATTGTTGGTGTTTTTTGTTTAACGAATGATATGGAAGATTTATATCTAAATAAACAATTATTTTTTTTTTTCATAGAACGAAAAACAGCTATTTAAATTGTGATTATGAATTGCAATGTCAAAACACTAATTAATCGTGACAATAAAAACAGTTTCTTATTTGAAATAATAATCAATATCAATATTAAAATTATTCTAAGATAAAATACAATTTGCACCTCAGACAACATTGAAATAGCCATGTGTTAATTGCACACCGATTTAAATATTTGAGTCAATAAATACAAATTAACAAATTCGAAAATATATACCCTAATGTATGGCCTCTTATGATAAAACGCAATAAGTGTATTTAATTAAATCTTTCAAATAATTCAGAATTATCTTATGATGCAACTATTTACTCACTGCACAATAAAAATTAATAACCAGTTTGACGAGTTAATAAAAAAAACTAAGAGATTTCATTAAATCGCCTGGGAACATTTTTGTTAATCGAAGTTTGAAACAGACCGTCAAAGCTATTCTAGAAAATCGTAAGCAACAAATGCTGTTAATGTGAAATGTAAGTACATGACAAAAAAATATTAAGAAATGAAATCATCAAAATAACTGCCTACTACAATGACGGAAAAACATTCGAATATAATATATAATAATAGAAAATAAAATAAAGCAATAAACAAATAATAACTATCATCCAAATATGATTCCTATTCCTATTTAGCAGATGTTCTTTTGCAGAATACAGGAATATTATATCAAAAAAACATGTAGCAAAATAGAAAGCCTCAGTAGGTGTTCAGACAGATACATGTCCTTTGAATTTGACCATATATTTACATATTATCTTTCTAAGGGAGATACGGCAAATGTTGACCTATATATCCTATCTTTGTACTATATTTAATGTTTGTAGAAATAATGGATTTCCTTAGCAATTTTTAGTGGGGGATGAATCAGAATAATTTCCGCCATAGCTTGTAATACCCATTACAAGCATCACATACGAAATTTGAAACACTTCCCTAAAATCTTCAAAATACCGATCAGAAGGTATCGTTATTTGAGGGCTATATGAAGACGTCATGTTGTTCCGTCATAGGCTGTAGTGCACATCACGAAATTTAAATACGAAAGTTTGAAAGAATTTCGGTAAAAATGTCGCTAAAACCATCAAGATATCGATATCGTGGACCTATATAGACAATTCTCTTCCCGGGATTAAAGTACCAACAAAAAACTCCTTGTATAGAATTTCAGACAATTCCATTGAAAAATGTCAATCATCAAAATACCGAAAATCGGGGGTACCGTTATATGGGGGCTATAAGATATCGCAGAGAAATATAAGCAATTCAAGAGGCAAAGCTCTCACAACCAACTCCTTTTGTAGAATTTCATTCCATTGAAAAATGTGGCAAAAATTATCAAAATATTAAATATCGGCGGTATCGTTATCTAGGGGCTATACGATGTCGTGAACCGACATAGGCCATCTTCGAACTTGTGCTTCCTATTTTAATTCGTTTTGACTCTAGCATGATTACAACAGACGGACGAACGGACAGGGCTAAATCGTCTAAGAATTTTACGCTAATCAAATATATATACAGGGTGAGATAAAAAAAACTGCAACAAAGTCAGACGCCATAATTTTTACATTTTTTTTTTAAATTTTATTGAATAAAAGCAAATGTGTCGAAATAGCATCAAATTTTAGAATACGTTTTGATTTGTTCGAATTGGTCATTTTTGACACGGCCAATGAAACCGGCACACGCTGCTCGAATGTAGCTCTGCGGTATTATGGCGAAGCGCTTGCTTGAGGTGATCGACACTTTGGTATTTTTTAGTGCCAACCTTGCTTTCCAAAATACTCCAGACACAATAGTCCAGCGGTGGCCATTGTGCGCTGGAAATGAAGCGAGGAACCTCATTTTGTAACCATTCTTGGTTGGCTCGTGCTGAGTGCGATAACATTCGGCATTTATTCTGATGCCACGGTCGATTAATACGAGCGAAGAACGACCATCGGCTGTTATGGCGGCCCACACCATCACCATGGCCGGCGCTTGAGTTCTGGTGGCCAACCGAATGTTCACATTTTCAGCTGACCTCTTTGGCAAGTAAACACGATCATTTTGTTTCTTTACAAATTACTGGACAACGAATGTTTTCTCATCGGAGAAAACAAAATTCGGCAGTTCACCACTTTCGGCCAAGCGAAGCAACTCTCTAGCTCTTTTGAGTCTATTTTCTTTCTGTTGCGGTGTAAGTTCTTGCACTTTTTTGAATTCCAATGGCTTTACTCCGAGCTCATTTTTCAATATTTGCCGAATGGAATATTGCGATATATTCAGCTCATGTTCATTTTTCGGCCACAGTGACGCGGCTTACGATCAAGTGGCTTCTTTACTTTTCGAACCATTTCGGTGATGTTGCTGTTTTCTTCCGTCCACTTCCTTGACGTTGGGCTTCGCTACTAGTTTCACGGTAACGAGCGATGGTACCAGATACAAAAGATTTATCACATTTAAATGCTGGAGTGCTCTAACGATAGCCACTTGTGGTTTTCCAGCCAAATACAAATCACGCTTGAATTCCATCACGAATAACTTTTTTTTCTGGAAAATTCTCACCAAAATGCTTTTGTATGCTTGTAAATAGTATAATAAGCTGTCACTGGAATAATTTTAATAGCTGTCGGACGAGTGGCATAGAAATTATGGCAGTCTGAAGTTGGTTTTTCATCTCACGCTGTATATCATATTTATTTAGGGCCGATACGAAATGGGCAATATCTAGGTCGAAATCTCCCAACACTTCAAGCAATTGCTAAAAAAATCGTGAAAAATACAAAATTCTTTCAAATTGAAAACATAAAGTATTCCAAATTTTGCAATTTTAGGGAGCATGAAATATACGACTATATTACTTAATGTGGGGCCGCGAAAAAAGTTTCTGCAAAAATGCTGTTGATGTTTTGTAAAGTATTGCAGAGTTTTTTTTTTATATTATTAGGCAAAAAATGGACACATTGAACTGCAGTGAAATTGAATATCAAAAAAGTGTATATTTTTTTATGACCAAAAGGGAATTAAATAACCAAACGTCATATCTAATTTGACTCTAGTATTACTATAGATTCAAATCAACTGGGGTTTGATGCTACCTGTAATATATATACCATGGGACAACACAATTGTTTCGCACATCAAAACAAAACGTAATCTAATCAAATGTGTGATTTCAATGTATGTATAATTATAGAACATGATTTTTTCTCCGGTGTCATCTTAACTCAAATAAACTCTACGAAAAGTGAAGTTGCACCAAGAAGTTTTCCATAGTTGTATCGTTTATGGCCGAAACACACAATTTGAGTACTCTCCAAGTTGTACAACCAGTTGTATCATGTGTGGCTTGCATTATAGAAGTCAGAAACTCTACGGTCCAAGACTGATTTCATTTTATAATTTCTTCTTAAATTTAATATAACTAAAATAAACTATTGAACCGAAATTATCAAAAAGTATCCCCACATACCTCAAATTCTCCCATGTCAAAATTTAAAGTAACCCCAAAAAAGAACACAACCGAATTACTCTACCACATGTTTGCTGAGCCATTAATATTTCTACGGTCCTTCGGGTGAAATAAAAATGTAAAACTAATAACACAATCAATTAATAATAACGCTTCCATATCCGTAACTAGTCAATTCGACTAGAACATTTATGTGCCCACAATGTGTGCGAACATTTTTATAATCCCTCGTGGACGACGGCTTGGTCAAACATAAAACTTGGTAATCAAATATCAATATTGGAAAAAGGACTACAGGCCAAGCATACTTTTGTCCGCATATTTATACGAGATACGCACCAATAAATGTTCAATTGGGCTTGTAGAGGTCGTGTTCGTTATTTTTCTTTTGGACAACAAAAAAGAAAATGTCAACACAGAATGTTTGCCTTTCCGGTTATTCCATATTCCAGTGGGTAAAATTATTCATTTATGCCCAATGTCCCGCCTTCGTACAACTCATTAATTTGAAAATTTGCTAAAAGTTTGGGAAATGGCTGACATTGAATAAACTAAAATGGTGTTGATTTCATCATCAAAGTTTACAAAGGCCATTTAAAATAATTTTACAGAAAAAAATAAAGCGGAAACATTGGCAATTAGGTCATTTACAATAAAATAAATATTCATTTTATTAATATTTACGAATTACATGAAAAGAGAAACCCCAATTGACAATACAATTACACTATTTGATGGAAAATTGTTCATTCTCAATACTTTTCCTAATGGGTGAGGTTACAATTGGCCGGAAAATGGTTTTGAAATTAAATGTAAATGTTAATCAAGGGAAATAACTGACTGCGAATCAACGCCCAAGCGAAACGGCTCAAGCTTGAATCTTAAAATTTTGCATGAGGGTCAGTCTTGGAATGACTTTTTGGAAATTCGTACTAAATGAGTACGAAAAGTACTAAAAATTTAATAATTTGTATTGGGCAAACGGAATGACCTAGAATCCTAAAACATTGAACAAGTGTCACTTATGGAGTGCAGGATGGATGTACCAAAGGGTTTTTGAAATTTAGAACTGTAAGGTCACGAAAAGTTCCAAAATTGTACTAAACTTCTAAAATAGTACAATTTGGTAAATAGATAAAGCTAAAAACTAGTTTGAGATTCAAGGTTTGTTTGATATACTGAGGTGGTTTTGAAAATGTGTACTAAGTAGAAGAACTGAACTAAATGGCACTTGTACTTGGTTTGGTTTAGGTTGAATCGATATCTCGATATCTGAAATTTTGGTCGCTGTTTATGTGTAGCCTGGACATGGCTTGGAAATGTGTACTATTATTGTACAAAAAGTACTGAATTGTACTATATTTGGTATTTGATATTTAGGTGACTGAGGATACCTGTGTTTAAGATTTGGCAGTAGTTGGAAATACTTCCCATCTTTGTACGAAAAGTACTAAATGTAGTATTGGGTAAAGGGGAAAAACTGAAATCCTGATATTTGATATACCTGTGGTTAGATATAGAAGTGGTTTTGAAAATGTGTACTACAATTGTTCGAAAAGTACTAAGTGGAACTATGTTGTGTATTGGGTGGATGGACGGAACCGAAATCTAACAATTTAATATTGAGGCCTCTTTTTGTATCTGACATTGAGATATGGAAGTAGTATTGGAAATGTGTAATTGTACGAAAAGGGATAGAGCTGGATTCCCGAACTTTGATATAGAGGTTTCTGTTGGTGTATGAGATTGTGATATTGAGGTGGTTTTAGAAATGTGTACCATAATTGTTCGAAAAGAACGAAGTGGTACTAAAGCAGGTATTGGGTGAAAGAAGGGATCTGAAATTATATATATATATATATATACATATATATATATATATATATATATATATATATATATATATATATATATATATATATATAT